CATTTTGTTTAAAAATGTTTCTTTTATGTAGTGATCAATGTATGTATTTATTTTTTTTAAACGTAGAAAAAGTGAATATGGGTAGTGAATACTGATGTTATTCGGAGAGGATGCATATTCATTGATTTGCATGTATTCATGTGTCCGATCATAACTGGAGCCATTTTAAATGGTAAGCTGTTTTCAGCATGAACTCCCAATACCATTTGCCCGAAAAAAACCCGAAATAATATTTTCTATCCGAAGGTAAATTTATAAACAGAAACAAACATTTATATTCGTCAAATCACCTCTCAGAGTTCGTACGAGGATGCCTTTCCGGGCCGCGCCACGAACAGCGTAAGTGCACACATTCTACTTTCCGAATCACAGTGTGCATGCAGTGTACAAGCTCAACCCCGGTAATGACACATTAACTGCGCATGTGAAGACGCCCGCAGCGATCTATTTTAGTCGTACACGCGTGACAACAGTACTTCTCCTCAGACTTTCTCAGAGTCTACGTACTAATAACTGGACATGTACATGTACGCCCGCGAATAGCAAACGAAAAGCCAGGCTACGTTCAGCGGGCTACTATAAGGGTATTTTTGTCAGCGGCGGGTCACGTGTGTGAACAATTAGACAAGCCACGAACCTGGAACAATTGACGCCAATGTTTAAGATATCATTCAATGGACAATTCACGAATATATCTCTCAGGATTGATTTATTTTTGAAGAATAGAAGGTCTTTTCGTTGTAACTTCCGGTCTGATGACGTCATCAACTTCAAACTTCACACATGTGTTGTTTGCATGAAGGTCATTATATATACCAGTCAGGCACGGTACTAGAACCAATATTTGGAGGGGGGGCAGCAAGGTGGATCCAGAATTTTTTCAGGGAGGCGTGCTGAAATGTTGGCCGGTTATTTTTATCCAGACACTTAGGCCTCCGAAAATCAATAGGTGGGGGGGGGGGGGGGGGGGGGCGGCTTATGTCATTTTTCAATGGGGAGCGCCAATAAAATCCTGAAATCATTCACACTATATTAACTAATGCACCCTTGTCACGGCTATTTCTTCTTTAGGGGGAGACCGTTCGCATGTACATAACAATCCTTCTTTTTGCTAATGCATTTTTTTTTTTTACGGAATTTATTTTGGGGGGGGGCTAGACAAAAAAAATGGGGGGGGGCGGGGCTACAGCCCCCCTAGGCCCCCCCCCCCCCGTAGAACCGCGCCTGATTATTACAAGTTTTCAGGCGATTACAAAACACTTCGCCACAGACATCTATTCAAAATGCATTTTGGACATTCTTAAACATGCCGCTAGAGGGCGGTTGAGAATTTCATGACGTCACCGGTACAAGTTTTGAAGGATATTGTCTGGCAAGGGACTAACACCGTTGAAAGCAAGATCATATCTATTTTCAATTTTAAATAATAAGCCAATAATAAGCCATTTCCGGTTTCGACCGGAAGCAAGGGTCATGTGATTTTACGTATACGTTAAAAAATAAAGACCTTATTTTACTCTATCACTTGCCGCAAGCAGCAAGACGACAGATCTCATTATTGATTTTATATAGATTTTTAAAGATAAAAAAATATCAAAGTTTAATTGCTTGTCACGTGACACCTGATGACGTCATCATGCCATCATTGTTCTGGCACAATCTAAGCATTCCGTCTTTGCTTGGTGTTACTTTGATGAAGATGCGCCATTGAAAAATGGCCAAAAAGGTCCCTTGAAAAAGAGGGGCACAAATAAAGTGGAAAAACCGTGTACAAAGTCAATGGGCTTAAATAAATATTCAAAATGTCATAATAAATCACATGATGACGTCATCATTGCGTCCATCTTCGCAACGACTTTGCTATATGTTCTTTGACTATTTTAAGTTTCAATGTCATAATGAGTGTGCTTTTATGACTAAAATGCTGACGAGAAAAATCGTGCACAGAGTCTATGGGATTTGTTATAGAAGACCAAGCTTCTTCAGCACAAGACTACGCGCCACGTGTTTGGCCCCGTTCCAGCAAGCATGACGATGATGAAATAATGGATCTGCACTGAATGCATGTACATGTACTGTACATGAGTACAATGTCCTGTACATGCAGTGTACTCACGCACACCCAGCTTTCGCTTTCATTGAATTTTTGAGCGACGGACTACCGTTAGGGTATTTTTGTCGGCGGCGGGTCACATGTGTGAACAATTTGACAAGCCATGCGCCTGGCACAATTGACACCAATGTTTCATCTATCATTTAATGGACAATTTAAGATTATATCTCTCATGATTGATTTTTTAGCGATTTTTGAAGAATAAAAAATCTTTGCGTTGTAACTTCCGGTCTGATGACGTCATTGGCTTCAAACTTCACACAAGTGTTGTTTGCATGAAAGTCATCATATATACCAATTTTCAAAAGATTACAGCAAACTTCGCCACGGACATCTATTCAAAATGCATTTTGGACATTTTTCAACCTGCCGCTAGAGGGCGCTCTAATATTTCATGACGTCATCGGTTACAGTTTAGAAAAGTACTTTCTTGCCGAAGACTAACATCGTTGAAAACACGTTCATATCTTTTACCATTTTTACATTACAAGGCACTTCCGGGTTCGACCGGTTTCGACCGGAAGTAAGGGTCGTATGATTTGACACCCACGAAGTAAATTGAAGACCCAGTATTATTCTATTGACTGCCGTTAAAAACAAGTTCCGGTCTCTCACGGTTGATTTTATATCGATTTGTAATGATTAAAAAATAGAAACACTAAATTGCTTGTAATTTGATACCTGATGACGTCATCATGACGTCAGGACAATATACACTACTCGGGATCAGGGTCAATATGTGTTCGAAGTTACAAGTTTATATCTTGAACAGTTTAGGAGTAAACCCACGGAGAAGTATTGTCCGGAAAAAAAAAGAAAGAAAGAAAGAAAGATTAATCGGGACAATTCTAGACAGTGGTCGGGTTGTGCCCGACCACTCAATTAATTGTAACAGATTCAAAGAGTGGTCGGGTTGTGCCCGACCACTCAAAGATTAATCGTAACAGATCCAAAGATCAAAAAGGAAAACGTAGTTGTTACAGTGCAACCGAGAAACTTAGATTATTTTAACGCGTTCCGTGTGTTTATTGTGCCGTGCGAGTTGTATTTTTTAATGAGATACCGAAGGTATACGTTACCCCGCTTCGAATGGATCCGTCTTAAAGTTTTTAACCAATAACGTATTATTCAATTCCCGCGTAGACTTTCCGCAGCCACTTACAACCTAGGCGTAGTCGAGTCGCAAAAACCCCATCCCATCTTACGTAAGAATGTTTTGTACATAGGCCATGGTAATTGAGAAAGCGCATCTTAATCGTTAAACAAAACCGCACCAATTAGTAGACAACAGATCGTATTGTATTGAACCAAATGCAGCGTTTAGGACTTCTTTTTCCATGTTGTGAAGTGAGTGAATTTTGTTGAGAGAGGGAGAAGACATTTTAGACCTGATCGAGAGACGATCTAGAGTGAAGGTGGGAGAGAGAGTGATCGTGTTTGCCAGACCGGTTTCAGCTTGCCCTGCACCTGAAATCTGATGACAGCAGATTTAGCTTTTGGATCAATTTAATCCTGCTGGAAAACGGAAAGTTCAGTTCCGTTTCCCAGGATTTGGTATATCAAGACCAAATTCCAGCGTCATAGCGTCCCGGTCATCTTGACATTTCATAGCAACCGTCCACCTCCCCAGGTATTCGCCCAGATAAATTACCGTAAGTGTTGATCTATGGAGTTTTGTATAAATCTTTATTACTGGAGTGATCTCTGTTATAGCATGATTTTGAAACGACCAAAAAAAGTCAAAGATCGTAGAAATATAGAATTTTGATCATTAACGACAAATCTTGAATTTGACGTTAAGAATTTGTTTGAACATGAGAATTAGGATTAAAGAGTTTGATAACGGAAAAGTCAGCTATTATGATTGAGAATTTCGAAGTAAGGATTTTATGAGTATACATGAGATATTTCTTGAGGATTTGGAAAGCAAATCAGATCATGTAGAGATGGTAGGGATGTTTAAGTTTATGTATTACGAGAAAACCTTAAAGGTTTTGGATCTTATATTTATTTTAGATGGCCTCTTTATTCGATATTGAGTGATCCGTCGGCAGTAACACCGACTGGAGAGGAGTCTACCATTGACTAGCAGCAGCCGTAGACAAGGCTTTGAAGCATGGTACTGATGTAGCGTGTATGCAGACCAGTCCTGCAACCTAGTGGGCAACTTGTGGCTCAACATCAGTTTGGAGAGTATCAAAAATAAGTTTGATTAAATCTGTGAGTCACACGAAATAAGTATAACCGGTGCAGTTTGGAAAACTTTAGCGTACCTCAGAAAAGTAAATTCTTAATGTAATTGAAATTAGTTTGTAAACAAATAAGAATACACGGGAGAGAAACCAAGCATTTAACCATTTGATAATTGTTGGAAATAATAATTTCGAGTTGAAGTGAACTGAACTGAAAATAAGAGTTTTATCGACTTCTAGTGAACTTAGAGGAATTGAATTGTAAGATATGTGCTGTATATATGTAAAGAAGAAGTTGTGAAGTTTTGTTTTTTAAAATATAATTGAAGAAAGTAAGAAGTTGTTTTATTCCCGTCTTTCATTTGGTCTGTTGGTGTGTCCATAGGATCCGGGGTTGCCATTCCTCTTATATATTAAAGATATAAATTAACCAAATTCTGGGGTGGTGACAGTAGGTAAAGTAGGAATACTTGAAACCCTATTGTTGCCAAAACAAGACAGTTGCCCGTTACCTCGTGTATTATAGCGATATCTCAAACAACCATTGCCAAATTCAAAATACTTTTCATACATAATAAATGTCAACTCTTAACAAGATATTCAACTGCAATGCTACACAATCATAGAGCTATATTAATTTAATATAGCTCTATGTACACAATATATTTGTATTTTCAGCGTAGCAGCTTCTTGTACAAACCCAAACATGCTCAACACGTACCTGCAGATGCTATGTAGTTACCACTGGGAGCATACTTGGCTACGGTCAGAATTATTTCGTGCACGCAATACATGTCGCATATTGCAGGATTCTGATACAGAGAAATGAATCGCAAATCAATCAAGAAGTAAACATGACACAAACTTCAACATTAGTCAGCGGAATTCGCGGTCAATTGGACAAAAAATGCAAAAATGCATTTGGTCGGTAGTACACGTTATTTCTTAAGTTGATTTTAATCTTTGCCTACGCTGTTACCATATCTTTTAATATACACCATTTGCCTTAATACAACCATTTTCTTTGATTTACAACAATTAACTACAACCCATTGTCATTGGTTTTATAGGTACCAAATGAAAGACAGTTTACCCATTCCTACTGGTCGAGAGTCCGTCGCTTGGGTGGTTTTAAATAATCGATAAAACACCGGCAGGCTGGCTTAAATATAGGTTTTCCCGGCCAATTTCCTAAAATGTTCATTCACTTCTGAAAATCGGTCGTTCATTTTCGACTGAATTTCAGAATCGCTCTAAACACGAGTTTTATAGGTTTTCTCGGTCAATTTCGGCAAATGAGCAGCCAATTTAATTTTCGTGCGTTCGAATTGAAGCTATTTTGCCTCTCCAGTTGTTACTGCGTTTCAAATTCAGAATTTGGCCATTCAATTTCGTTTTGAGGTATTCAAATTCCTTTAGCACTGTGTTCAATATAGCATATCGTCATTCTTTTTCGTGACACACAATCATCATTCAATTGAGCAAAGCTGGTTCGACTGGAGATTTTACTGATTTCATTTTTTTTAAATTTCGTAAAGAGGCAATTAATGTCGCTTAAAGAAAATTCAAATAAGTACGACTAAAGAAATACGAATAAACAGATAAACTGTACTAGGCAACTGTTTCGTATCTTCACTTTAATTCAGGCAAACCTTGTTTTCTTTATTTATGCTTCCAGTAGACTTTACATGGGGCCAATAAGGTTTTTTCTTCTTCTTTGTTTTCTTCTTCATTCTTTTTTTTTTGGGGGGGGTGATCTTTAGTGGTTAACTGACCAAGACCTAATTTTGTATTGTGTTTAAATGGGGTGTTTCTTTATGTTTTTCCTGGTTTTTTATTGTTTATGTTGTTTTTTCCTCAACCGTCAATCTGCTGGCGTGCCAGACATCTTGGCATATATGTTTGGGTATGGTTGTACCACTGCATGCACTTCACTTGGGTGATGACATCAACGCTCTGGATGGCTGCTTGTTGAAGGAGATCGCACCTCCACTGCTGCATGTTCATTCCTGCTTGCTGGGCAGCCTGTCTGTCTCCGACACGTTGTTGCCACTCAGGTAACCCAAGGATGCGTTTAACTGCAGCCTTGAATGCAGAGTGTGCCATCCCCGTGCTGTTCAGGAATGGGGAGTAGGGAGGGAGGCGCTTCAGCTGGATCATTGGGTTGGCACCTTCAGGGAGTTGGGCTCGCACGTGAGGCCTCGCATTGTCATATATGAGGTAAACGGGTTCGTCGTCTGGGAAAACTGCATCACACTCTTGAATTGTGTCCGCAAGAAACTACTCAAATCTCTCTCGCGTTACAGTTTCGAATGCGATTCGGTGGTGCACCAAGCCTACTTCACTAGAAACAGCGAAGGTGACATTGCAATTTCTCCCTCGTTGTCTGTCGACGACTCGTCTTGCAGCGATCCCTCGTGGAGCTGTACCCTGGGAGCGTCGAGTCCAGACGTTATAACCTGTCTCGTCAATGAAGACTAGATGCGCCAGAACACCATGCTGCAGGAACCACTCACCATACTGGACGCGTTGATCAAGAACTTCAGGGGAATTTCTTGCATCAGGGACGTCCTCCACTAGTTTCAGTGTAATCATCATCCCATCCAAGGCCCTGGCTATGGTGGCAGTAGAAACCTGGGGCTTCTCTGGCAGATGCTCACTCAAACTAGCCTTCATTTGTTGAAGTGTCAAGACGGAATTAGCGTCAAGGATGCCTTGCAGATGGTTTCGCATGTCATCATCCATCTTGCTGTGGGTTGCTCCTCCTCTTGCCAGCGTCTCTTGCCTTCCAGTCCTCAAATATGTTGCAACAATTGATCTGGCTGTGGACTTGTTGATGTTCAAATTGACCGCAAGCTGAAGGTAGTCTTGCTCGTTTCCCTCGAAGGCCTCAGTCAACCTTTCTCGATCTACCTGGGCCACTCTAGCGTAGCGACCACGAGCTGCCATTTCTAGAAATATGCGTGTAAAACTGTAGCGAAAGCTCGTCTTCGAAGTACATCGGCAAAGTGACTCAAGTGCCAAAAAGTGAACCGTATTTATGCCTTCAACATTCTTAAGGAAACAAAAATTTAAAGAAGCGTTTCTTAGATTGCACAAATTCCAGAAATGACTGCCCAAAAATGAATTTGAATGACTAAACACACGCCTCAAAAAGCTCCTGCGAATTTGAATGCTGCTTTGTTGAATTGTTAAATTGCATGATTATTTTTCTTAAATCGAATGACGCAACAGTACATTTGACTGGTCATAAAACGAAATCGAATGACCCTTTTCAGTAGCATTTGATTTCGCGCGAAATAGAATAGCGTAGTGGTTAAATTGGCTGCTCATTTGCCGAAATTGACCGAGAAAACCTATATTTTTGCTACCAGAGCATTCGATTCCATTTCAGTTCGATCAATTAAGTGATCGAGCAGCACCTTTCGTTTATTTTCATTCGGATACGATTACAAAACTTCTTGTTCGCTTTTAGACGGCGATTTCAAACATTTGCCATTCTATTTCACTATTAGTTTAATGCCATTGGCACTAGACACAACTAGGGGTTTCTTTTTCATTAACAGTCAATCAAATTAGCTGTACCTGCAATCAATTTAGAATGCTTGCGTAAATGAATGCACGTTTAACGTAATTGGCCGTCTGTTTCTCAAAACCGAATGCACAGGCAATGAAAACGATTGAATTTTTGTTGAATTGAATGGGATTAAAGACGTGCATTCAAATTCAGACAAAAATGAATGACCGATTTTCAGAAGTGAATGAACATTTCTCGAAATTGGTCGGGAAAACCTATACTTTTCCAATGAAATGCTGACTCCTACAGGAGTAATCTGGTCCCTTTTACTCGTTTATTGGTTAGACGGTTACAATATTCACTTAGGTATGCGCAATACTACCGGGGTCCGCTCATAAGTCCGGCGCCTCATAGGTCCGACGCCTCATAGGTCCGACGCCTCATAGGTCCGAAATTTTGGACTTATCAGGCATCGGATTTATGAAGCGTCGGACTTATGAGGCATAAGATTTATTTATTCCGCCCCATAGGTCCGACGCCGCTTAAGTCCGCCGCCTCATAAGTCCGAAATTTTGGACTTATGAGGCGTCGGACCTATGAGGCGTCGGACTTATGATACGGCCCCATACTACCAATGAGTCTGTATTTCATAGAGTCATGGGTCCAATATCACGGCGCTGCTTCGGCGTGGATGTGCTGCATTGAGATTCTATTGTGACGTCACTAAGCTTTTTTTCCTATGAAGTAAGCGTTTGCTGTGCTCATGCTTACGGACTCCATGAAATAGACGGAGGCTGGTTACGACCAGTATTGTAATAATTAACCAATAACATAAAGCGACCAGTAATGTGATAAAAATCGACCAGTAATGTAATATCGACCAGTAAAGCATATTTCTGTCAGTAAAGTGACAAAAGAAGCGAACAGTAGTAATGTAATTAAAAAAATTGACCAGTGCAGAAAATCGACCAGTAAAACAATAATTAATTAACCAGTAATATTAATGAGCATAATTATGTTTCTTACTGCTTTGGAATGTTTTTGAGGAACTTTGGATTTTGTGCGAGTGATTTGAATGGTCGGACCCAACCCGACCACTGCTTGAAAGCGTACGCGTTCTGATAATTTTTTTCTTGTTTTCCAGACAATAATTCTCGCCCCTAGTGTCATGTGTTGACAAGTCCCCCCATTCCCTGTCGTATTTCCGCGACAGGGCAATATTAGGATCTTTGGTCACCCCCTCCCTTTCTTCATTCGCCGACTCGGATTTACGCCACCGTCAAAAGGCAAGTCAACCACAGTGGGATTTAAAGTGTAGTTCGAACCTCACTTAATAGCTGCCACGTTTCGGCAGTTTACACGGGGCGGGTACGTTTTCAGAAAAGTCTATATATGCAAGTATTTCCCCCACAGAGTGAGTTTATTTCTGAACAGTGCACGAAGTATACACGTGTAGAGAACAAAATACGCCTGGCTTGGCCTCGATGTAGGATTATTGAAGATTAAGTGTCATTTCCAACCACCCACGTGCGCGCTGCTCATTAGCTGTTTTGGTGTACACACCGAAACAGCTCTTGTTTTTGTTATTTTTTTCCACTCCCCCCACTTTTTTCCCCGTAGGATAACACGTGTTTCGTTCTACACAGGACTTTGGGACTTTTTTTCAAATCCGATTGACTTCAAACCTGGCACACACTAGAAATACCATCTGAAGATCAGGTGGAATTATGACATCATCATGACGCCATCACGTGTCAAGTGACGTCATCCTAAACTTGCATAGTTTAAGTCCCTATATCTACAAAAACGGAGGTCCGATCGGGTTTAAACTCGATATGCAGGTATTCCGGGAAGTGTTATAGACAAAAAAAATGCAGTGGAGTCACGATGACGTCATCATGCGATTTTATATGAATTATTCATATTTTGGACCTTTTATTCATATCTCATCAACGGAACGTGGTAAATTCAAAATTCTTTTTGCAAAAGATTTGTTAGATCGTTGATAGATACAGAGGTTTTTTAATGTGCGACGTCACCATGACGTCATGAAAAAATGCTTTTGTTTACATTGGATCGACATTTAGACCACCATATATAGAATACTCATGTACAGGCTCATTCGACGTGAAGGAAACTCCTTTATGGCAGTTATTGCTAAAACGGTCGAAACAGCTCATCGGTGTTTGTCCTCAAACACATTTCTATAAGCCGTACGCGAGTACCTTACGGATATTATTGTAATTTCTAAACTGTGATTAGTCAATAGCCTTAGTATTTAACGTGTTGATATTC